GGGCCCCTGATCCAACACCAGGATGCAACTGAGTTGGTGAGAAATGTGGATAGAACGGAAGTCAAAGAAGCCCTATTCAGCATTGGTGATGATAAGGCCCCAGGCCCTGATGGTTATACAGCTGCCTTCTTCAAGAAGAAATGGGATATTGTTGGTGATACTGTTTTTGATGCTGTTTCTGAGTTCTTTTTGAGTGGGAGACTCCTTAAGCAGATTAACCATGCCTTGGTTGTCCTCATTCCCAAGATCAGGGAGAACCTTAGTGCCAAAGATTATAGACCCATAGCCTGTTCTAATGTGGTCTATAAAATAATCACTAAAATCCTTTCCAATAGAATGGCTGGACTGCTTCCTAGCCTCATTAATCCTGCCCAAGCTGCTTTTATTAAGGGCAGGAGCATTGTGGATAATATTCTTTTGGTACAACACCTGGTTAGGGGGTATGCTAGGAAGAGATCACCCCCTTGCTGTATGCTAAAGCTGGACATCTCAAAAGCATATGGCACAATCTCATGGGATTTCTTGAGGAATACACTTCAGCGAATTGGATTCCCCCCAACTTTTGTGAACTGGGTCATGGAGTGTGTTACCACTGCATCCTTCTCACTGTCTATTAATGGAGGCTTGCATGGCTTCATTAAATGCAAAAGAGGTATTAGACACGGTGACCCCGTGGCCCCAACTCTGTTTCTTTTCTGCATGGAATACCTCTCAAGGCTGATCAGGAGAATGCTCTATGGGAACAGATTCACTTTCCATAACAGGTGCTCTAAACTGGGTATTACTCATGTTACTTTTGCTGATGATGTGATGATGTTTTGCAGGGGAAATGTGGATTCTGTCAATGTTTTGGCAAAAGCTATCAAAATTTTCTCCCAAGTATCTGGCTTGCATGTGAACCCTCTCAAATCCAATATCATTCTAGCTGGATAGATCAAAGACAGGAAAGAGGATATCCTAGCTTTGGTGGCTTTCCCTCAGGGTAAACTGCCTGTTAGATACCTGGGACTACCTCTTACCTCACAAAGAGCTTCTGAAAGAGACTCTGCCCCACTTGTGAATAAGGTGGATGAACATATCAGAAAATGGAATGCCAAAACCCTATCTGCTGCTGGAAGATTGGAACTCATCAGATCTGTTATCCAAGGAATTGAAGGATTCTGGTTCCAAGCTTTCCCTATTCATAAATCTGTGTTGGATAGGATAACCTCCCTTTGTAGAACTTTCCTTTGGGGGAGCAAATTCTGTACGGTTGCTTGGGAGGATATCTGCAAACCCAAGGATGAAGGGGGGCTTGGACTGAACCAGCCCATTATTTGGAATCAGGCACTTTTGAGCAAGAACCTGTGGAAAATTGCCTTTAACAAGGAAACCCTATGGGTGCAATGGGTTCACTCTGTTTACCTTGATGGCAATGACTTTTGGACTTGGAGTCCTAGGAAAAAGGACTCTCATTTTTTCAAGAAACTGATTGAAATCAGGGACCTGCTCCTACTCAAGTGTGGGGACAGATGGGAACTTGAAAACCAACTCTGTGATCTGGGTGAAATATCAGCTACCAAGGTTTAGGATTTACTTAGAACCAGGGCAGTGTTGAGACCCTGGATGAAGGCTATTTGGAAACCCTGCATCCCACCCAGATACTCCTTCTGTGCTTGGTTGATCTTCCGTAACAGAATTCCTACCAAAACTAGCCTTCATTTCATTGCTATGGAGAATAGATTATGTGAACTTTGCCACAAGGAGGAGGAAACTGGTCAGCATCTCTTTTTCAGCTGTGAAACCTCCACACTCATCTGGAATGCTGTCAGATCATGGCTTGAGATTGCCCCTGCCCTATCTACCCTGGATAGAGCCCTTACCTGGCTAAGGAGACTGAGGAATAACCATTGCTCTAGGAGGAAGATGACAAGGCTGGCTATTCTCAGTACAGCCTACCACATTTGGAGATTAAGGAATGGTGTGTACTTTGACAATCAGGCCATAAATATTGATGCTATTGTGTGCAAGATCAAGGTGGGGGTCTTTAAAATAATGAGCAGGTTATATCCCAATGGTGTTTAAGACCTCCCCCCTGGATATCACTGATTGGACTCCCTGGATGTTGCTTGTGATCCTTGTGCTGACCCTTCCTTTCCTTGTTGAGGATTGGTTGGGAGTTTACCTTGGTTTGATGCTCGACACAGGATTAAGACTGGGGACCCTTTGGGTAACTGGTGCTATCCCTATGCCCAGTATTCTTTGGGGCTGGAAACATTTCAAATGTTAGAAACCCTCTTTGGAGGGTCTCTAACCCTTGTTATGGGTCCTTGGGGGTGGATTGGTGGGAAACAAACCAGGCTATGCAATCCCCTTCTGGAATTGTAGAGACTGGCTTGGGTCCAGGGTTCTTCACTCTCTCTCTCCTATTCCCCCTCCCCTCCCCTTCTTTTCTTATTCATCACCTTCCTTCTCCCCCCACTTTTCTAGGAGACAAGTTAAATAATATGAGCCAAATCATTCCTTGGATTTGATACATGTTAGTTTAACTTGGCTCCTCCTTTGGGTGGTTGGGCTCCTGATAGCTTGGGTGCTATTGGGGTGTGGAAACAAACCATACCCTATCTACCCCTTCTGGATAGGTAGGGAATGGCTTGGATCCAGGGCTGGAGGGTGTTTTTACCCTCTTTTCTTTCTTTCTTTCCCCCCATCTCCCCTTCTTCCTTCTTCTTGCTTCTCCCTCCTTCTTGGTCTTCCTCCTCTTTTCTCCCTTATTCTGACTCTGGAAACATACTAAGTTTCACTCATCTAAACCCTCTTTGTTTTGATGTTTGAAGGTTGGTGTGTCTTCCCTCTGGTGTTGGGTGGGTTGGGGCCCCATTGGTTTTGTGGACTGGTGGGGTTGTGAGGAAACAAACCAACCTCTACTAACCCCTTCTGGGTAGGCAGAGGTTGATTTGGGTCCTGGTTTGTTGGTGTTCCACACTTCTTCTTTTCTTTTTCCACCCCTCTTTCCACTTCTTCGTTCTCTTGCTTCTTCCTCCTCCTTTGTTTCTCTCTCTATCCTTAACCTCCTTCTTCTGTCTCGGGGAACACATCTGGATGCACTCACTTATACCCCTCTTTTAGTTGAGTGACTGCAAACTGGTGTGCCTCCCCCTACATTTATGGCTTCCTTTTGGATATTTGTGTGGGTGACCTGGATAACTTGTGTCTGGCTTTGCTTTGTGGTCCCTCTCATTAGGGATGAGCACCATCACCTTATGCCTGAATGAATTTCATCCTAGCTCATTTGTGTGAGACAGGTTTTGATTTGGTTCTATTTGGTGCAAATGGTCCTTTGGTGCTTCTAAACCTCTGATGGATTTGGTCCTGCTGTGATTGTGTTTTGAGTCTTTAACCAGAGTTGGAATGCTTGCGTGGACTTCACCCTACTTCACCTGTGTGAAACAGATAGCTGTACATGGATGTGTGGTGCTGTGATGCTGTGTGCATTGATTATATGTGTGCAATGTGATCAGGGCCTGATGCTTCTTTTCTAATTCTCACTGGAACCTTTAGATTTTATGAAGTCGCCCTGGTTTTGCAAGTGGAATGGAATGGTCTTTTCCTAGCCCACCTCTTCTCGATTGTTGCTGGTGTACACTTGTGTTAAATTGTGTTTGATGTAATGGAGACGTTTGTCTCGTGTTAAGACAACCTCCTAATCTTGGTCTTGGTTAGATCGTACTTGTATTTGTTAGTGTTTTTGTATTTGTATGTGTTACACTTGAGTTGTAATTTCTTTTCTGTATAGCTATAACTTAAGCAAGTAACCACCTTGTGGTTAAGCTGTTGACATTTTGTATTCGTTTGATTTGGGTAATAGTAATTTACATGTTACCCGTTGAAAGAACCTGATAACACTGCCCTAATTCACAAAACTGCTTCTGTTAGGAAAAAAACTGCCTTTTATTGTGAAGCTAAAAGATCCTTTTACCTACAGAAAGTCAAATGCAAGTTCAGTAATGAGGGAGACAAATGCAGCAAATTCTTCCATTCCCTGATGAAGAAACAAACTGCCATGAACTCCATCCCCTTCGTCATCACTAGTCAAGGGACTACCACTACATCTTTGGAGTCCATTGTGGATGAATTCATTGGACACTTTAGCACTATCTTTGGACATACTGTTCCCACATCCCCTATTGACTGGGATGTATTTAAAGAGGGACCCCTAGTTCAACACTTCGAGGCTAGGAATCTGATCAGGAAAGTGGACATACGTGAAGTGAAGGAAGCACTCTTTAGGATTGGGAATGACAAATCACCGGGACCTGATGGGTACACAGCTGCCTTCTTCAAACAGAATTGGCCAGTTATTGGACATGCTCTCTTTGATGCTATATCTGAGTTCTTTACTAGTGGAAGACTTCTTAAACAAATCAATCATGCTACGGTTGTACTCATTCCCAAGGTCAAGGAGAACCCTACTGTTAAATATTTTAGGCCAATTGCTTGCTCAAATGTCACATATAAAATCATCACGAAGATCCTTTCTAACAGAATGGCACCACTCCTGCGTGACCTAATTAACCCTGCACAGGCAGCGTTCATCAAGGGAAGAAGTTTGGTAGACAACGTCTTATTGGCCTAGCATTTAGTTAAGGGATATGCTAGAAAGAGATCCCCACCTTTTTGCATGATGAAAGTGGATATTTCCAAGGCTTATGACACTATCTCGTGGGAGTTTATGAAGAATACATTGGAAGGGCTGGGGTTTCCATCCAAGTTTGTTTCTTGGGTCATGGAATGTGTCACTACGTCATCCCTCTCAATCTCTATCAATGGTGGCGTGCATGGCTTCATTAAGTGTAAGAGAGGGATTAGACAAGGTGACCCCATGGTCCCCACTCTCTTTCTTTTCTGCATGGAGTATTTCTCAAGGATGATCAGGAAAATGCTTTACAGGAGCAGATTTACCCACCATTTGAGGTGTGCTAAACTTGGTATCAGTCATATTACGTTTGCTGATGATGTGATGATGTTTTGTAGGGGAAACATGGATTCTGTTACTGTCTTGGCCAATGCCATTAAAGAGTTCTCCCAAGTATCTGGATTGCATGTTAATCCTCTGAAATCCAATATCTATTTGGCTGGTGAAATTAAGGATAACAAGCATGATTTACTATCCTTAGTCTCTTTCCCTGAGGGTAAACTTCCGGTACAATACTTGGGACTCCCCTTGACTTCCCAAAGAGCTTCCGAAAGGGACTTTGCACCGCTTATTGCTAAAGTGGATGAAAATATTAGGAAGTGGAATACCAGATCTTTATCTGCAGCAGGTAGATTGGAACTTGTTAGAAGTGTCATTCAGGGTATTGAGGGTTTTTGGTTTCAGGCATTCCCCATCCATAAAACTGTACTCGACAGAATTACATCCCTATGGAGAACCTTTTTGTGGGGAAGTAAGTTTTGCAAGGTGGCCTGGGCTGACAGTTGTAAACTTAAAGATGAAGGGGGCTGGGGCTTGAGAGACTCAATGATTTGGAACCAAGCTTTGCTGGCTAAAAGCCTCTGGAATATTGCCTCAAAAAAGGACACCTTGTGGATTCAATGGGTACACTCGGTTTATCTTGAAGGCAGTAATTTTTGGACCTGGATTCCTAGCAAGAAGGATTCCCACTTTCTTAAGAAGATTGTTGATGTTAGGGATTCCCTATTACAAAAGTGTGGTGATAGATTCATGATTGAAGACAACTTATGTGACATGGGTGATATGAAGGCCGCCAAGGTCTATGAGCTTTTGAGGTCCAAAGCTAGCATGAGACCTTGGATGAAAGTAATATGGCAGCCTTATATTCCCCCTAGATACTCATTCACTGTTTGGCTAACGTTGCGAGGGAGACTCCCTACTAAAATGAACCTCCACTTCATTCCCATGGACAACAGGAGATGTGAGTTTTGTCATACTGAGGAGGAAACTACACAGCACCTGTTCTTCCTATGTGAGATTACCTCCCTCATTTGGGGTACTATTAAGAATTGGCTTAAGATTGCACCTGCATTATCTACCCTTGAGAGGGCCATTACATGGGCTAGGAGACAAAGGCACAACCACTGTGCCAAAAGGAAAATGTGGCGACTGGCCATCCTGTCCACAGTTTACAACATTTGGAGAAGTAGAAATGGGGTCTATCTTGATAAACAACCCATACATGCTGATACCATCATCAATAAAATCAAAGTGGGGATATACAAGGTGATGTATAGACTATACCCCCAGGATATGTTTGATCTGTGATTGCGTTTGGGCTGCCAGTTCTTTTGTTTTTGGCTACTAGATGCTGGATTTAGGGTAAAATCTTTTTAGAGGATACCCTGGTCCTATGGATTGTGATTTTCCCTACCCTCCGATGATAACTTTGTGTTTGAGGAGTGCTTTGATCTCTTGGGACGTAGATGCAATCCTTGTGATCCTTTGTGGGCACTAGGGTCAAATCTAGGTCCTCCACTTGGGGCTGGAACCAGTTCAAAGAACAGAAATCCTTCCCTTTGGATTCCTAAGCTCTGGACTGGATCCTGGGGGCTGTTTGGGACGCTTGATATGGTTTCTCTTTGAGCTAACTGTATCTAAGGCGTGGGCTAACCTTAATCACTTTGCTTCTGGCATTGGCATTGGGGTGGTGGAAACAATTATACCTCTTTATACCCCTTTCGGGTACAAAGAGGTATTTTTGGGTCCCGGTTGGGGTGTTTTCAGCTGTCCCCTCTTTTTCGCTCCCCCCCCCCCTCCTTTTTCTTCTCTTCCCTCTTCTCACCTCTTTTCTCCTCCTTTCCCTCTACCCTTCCTTTTCTCCTAAATGCATACCAATTATATAGGCTTACTCCTTCTTCTGAGTGGGCTTATATACATAGGTTGTGTTTGGGCTTTGGGTGCTTGGGGTTGGTTAACCTTGGCGGAAACAGACTTAAGGCTTTGTACCCTTTTTGGATACGTAGACTTACGTTTGGGTCTTTGGGTTGGTCACCCCCTATTGGACTTAGACCGTTGTGCATTATACAACCTTTTTCAAAGGAGTATATGCGCGAAGGCTGGGTCACTTGGTTTTGATTGGTCTTGATTGATTTGGACTTGGACATCACGGGGTTTCATGTGGACTTTGTTGAGATGAACTGCAGGGGTCATGCTTGCTGCTGTAGCCCATCATGACTAACTGCTACACGGTGGACTATTGCTTTTGCTATTGAGAACTGGAACTGCCTGGACACTCCTGAATATCGCTATTGCTGAAGTACATGGTTGTTTTGGAAACCTATACAGTGATGACTGCAAAGAGGTGCTGATTGCGTGTAATAGCTTTCATCCATGATGCTGCTGAACACGTTGACCACCACTGGTGGTACAAGTTTGGACTTACATGACTGAAAAATGGCGAGCTGACCTGCTGTGGAAATGATGAGGTTTAGGCTTGTTGCTGTACATTTACCCCAGTTGCTGCACATCTTTGGACCACCTCTTTGGCCTTTGGGACACTGAAA